CAACAACGGGTCAGCTGACCAAATAATACCCCTCTCCCCAGTCAGGGCACATCATTAACTGGGGATTTTCGCGTCCGTACGACCCCGCTCCCCCTGCCCTTTGTTAGGAGCTGGTGCGACCTCGCCCTGGTTCCCTCCTCATCGAGCTGTCGAAGGAGGAGGGGGGGGAGGCATATAGCACACATGAAACAGGAAAAAAAAATCACGAAAAGTAAGCAACCTCTCTCAGAAGCTCAGGAGGGACATACGAATCCCCCTACCCCGAGCAAATACGACCCCTTCTCTTTTACAACGTCCATAAACAAGGAAAATCAACTACGAAAAAAATTTCTCAGCTTTTCTCAGCATGGATACGACCCCCTCCCAGCGAACAAATAAGACCCCCATTCTTGTTGGGGAATTCCCAACAACTATATGCCCTGTCCCCAACGGCTCATACGCTCCCCTGGTGCGATTGAGAACATATAAATCACTTCATCGTGTGCAAACTAGCTATCCTTCTGCGTCCTATACATTATGAAAATGGCCATGAATATCGTCGATATCCTAATCCACATGAAATCCGGTGTTCCAATAGATAGGCCGCTGCAAGTTAGAAGGTCGCCCCGCCCATCGCCGCGCTCGACGAAGCAACGAATTACGATTGTCTTGACCGTCTTCATAACCGCCGTTAGCTCGCGCATACTCAAATCAGCGTTTCTATTCTCCTTGCACAAAACTGTGAAAAATATGCGATACTACAGAGAAAGAAAGCTTGATAATCATGGGTGGAACTTGAATTTTAGCGTCACGCAGATGATGAATAGCGATGTGCTCAAAGGACACTGCATACTTCCATGACATAAATTTATTTACAAACAATTTTGTAGAGCAAACATCAATAATCACACTGAATCGAGAACTGTCTTATCGCCGTCCACCGTGAAGATGCTGAACACCTCCATGCAGGTTCATCAGCTGTAAAATTAAGAAGCCTGATGAAAAAAGGCGATGATAACTGTGAAGAATAAATCTGTTCGGCTGCATTTATACCCGCGTTTTCGAAATACTCGAAAAATTAGCGAAATGGAAAAGATACGTATTGAGTGGATGGCTCAGCAAGCCTAGAGATTTGGAGAATTCGTGAAAAGGATTATGTAAGCTGCGGGTCATCGGCAGCGTGATGAGATCTTTATGAGATATCAGTTAGCGAGCTGGAGTCAAATCATTCAATCATCTAGTCCTTTTCGCGGATCCCTCGACCCTCCTTCCTCTTCTTCCAAAAGACTGGGTGTAAACGCAGCTTACCGACACGTTCAGCTGCAATCGAATGAGCGGAGAGAGAACCATTCAACTTTTCTCATTGGTGTCCGACTCTTTCTGAGGCTATAAAACGGAGAACTGCACCAGAAAGTGGTTCTCTGTCTCCGCCCTCACGATCAGCGCAGAGTGTGCATTGAAAACCGAACTCACATCCGATAAGGCTACTTTCGAAAGTGGCTTCTCATGGAGAAATCCATGAACAGGGTGATGAGCGATGGCTGACTGTAACACATTGTCCTTATTTGGCTCATCTTTTTCCATCCTTTTCGGTCTTGATCTCTATTTCATTATAACCTTAGATGACTATCTACTGGTGAGCTATCATCCTGGCGAAGCTGGCGCAGCCTGCGCCACGTACGGCACTGCAATCAATGCTGAGATCGACTCCCGAAAGGGACAGTCAAGCTTTCATCCCTGTGGGGTCGGTCAGTTGACCAAGTCAACAACACCACTCAGCTAAGAAGTTGCTATCGGTTCTCCAGCTCCTTGCTCGTCGGCAGTTTTTTGGTTTTTTTTTCGGGAAGAAACTGGGAAGTTCCTTGGGAAATAGCTGGCCTGGGGAGGTGGTCGTAATCCCGAAGCAGGAGGAAATTCGAGAGGGGATCGTACTTCGCCAAACTTTTCCCCACCTACAGGCTCGAAAGCCTCAGACCAACGGAAGGGGGGGGGGGGAGGGTTCATATTGCTACGGTTTTACATGGGAGTAGAATGCGTAGCGCATCCCAGGAAGGATTTTATCGATCATCATCGGAGAAACTTTCACAACCTACCCTGCTTTAACAATCCTGACGTGCAAGGATCCTTTAAAGACCATAATCACTTACTGATCGTTCCTGATTCACTGAGTGATAGTCGCTGATCATAGGAAGGACTTCGATGTGTTTCTGGAAGTGACTGGCTTAAACTCGATTCGATCTAATCAATAATAAAAAGAATCTCCCACTATGGAATGATGTTTGATTGGGTAGTTGATTTTATGGGTATCCTCAAATCCTTGTTTCCTCTTGACTTCTGCGAGTTTCCTATACAAATGGCTGATTTCTTCGGCCGATTCCACTAGATAGCTCATTAAAAAACTTAGAAGTTATGAGCTGACGATAAATGGACTCACCAATTGTAAAGACGAACAAAATCAAACAGGAAGCTTTCACTGAAAAGGTGTCTGCTACGAGCATTTCCGACAACTAGTCTGAGGCAGGACGAAGAAGGGGGTGGAGTGAGCATAATCTAGGCCACTCCCCTTTTCTAGCCTTCTCTCAAGGTCAATTTTTCAACTGCTTGTTGTTCTTTCCAGGGGAACTGGGCTAGATTGGTCCCACATGATTGCGCGTCATCATAAATTGATAGCTCGATCTATCACTGGGGAAATTTTTTTACAGAATGCGCCCCAAATTTCCTCCTTTGCTAGGGCCCGTCCCCTCCGTAATGGGAGGGGAGGAGGATCCCGCCAACCAACTACCACTTACAATTACCAAAAATAGTAGTTGTATGGACTGCGCTGCCAATTAGAGGAAGGCGCTTAGCGGCTCGGAAACCAATGGGCCCTTCAACAATTGAAGGATGTACCCTGAGGGAGATTGTACAAGAGCTGTAAGTACCCTTCAGTTTTCTCAGAACAGGGTAAGTCCTGCCGTCCAGGGACATTTCACAACTCCACCCCCAGAACTTCCTCCTTTGGTACAATCCCCTCCCACCTTTCCCCAGCCTACCTACCATCTTCCTAAAATCTTACAGCTTCCTACTCAGTTTTCCAGAGCTTTCCAAAAATTCTCCAGTTTTCTAGTTTTTGAAAAACTGCCGTCGAGCATGGGGAAGGGAAGAGTAAGCATATAACGTACGTTAAACGAAGAAAAAACCGAGAAAAGTCAGCAATCGGAAACGTCCTTCTAAAGAACAAATTCGACTACCCTCCCCCGCTCGTCCATCAGCCAGATACGACACCCTGCGGTGGTCCCAACGTAGGAGGCCCCGTCTTAAAGGACGTAGGATCAAGCTTCTTCTGAGCTAGCGCGTTCCCCTTTCTTGTGATGCGAGTTTACTACTTACAGATTAGTTGCAGGTGAGCCACAAATCTTAACACGGTCCAAACAAGTCATTGTATACATCTGAAGCGTGATCCAACCCTTCAACGCCTCTGTGTGGAAGTCAACTGCATGGCGTATACAGAACTGTTCCTCAAAACTCTTTCTGCAAAACTGGAATGGCCGTAGTGCATCTTTTTCTCCTGGTTCACCTGCCGTTCTCCAGCCTGGGACACAAACCTCATTTATTTTTTTACGCTGGTCCTCTTCTACTCCAATAGCTCTATTAATACCCCTTCCACCTGCCCCCCCCCGCCAACCGCTCCCACTTCTAACGCTAATTTCAATCGGTTTCCAGCAGGTTTCTCCAACTCGGTTGACATGCAGGTCTCTCAAGCCTCTGGCTCTAACAATTCAGAGCAGGCTTGCTCTTGGCAGTTCAGGCTGTTCATGGTAGCGGCTTGTCTATGGAGGCTGACTCGCTCATGCGCCTAACAAGTGAGGTCGTGGGGCGTCGGGGTGGTCTGTCCGAAGTCCCTGATCCGCATTTTCAAAAAGGGCTGCATGAAAGAGCCTCATAGCCTCAGGAGGCTTTTTGCCGTCAGAATGCCCACTTTACCGTGCCTTGCGCATGCTGCCGCGCGCGCCGGGAGCGCGACATACTCGACGATGTCTTTTGTGCGTCTCCGTGAACTTTTGTATGATCAGAAAATGGCGCGAAGCACCCCCTCATCTTTGGTAATAGAAACTTCTACAACATCCCGGCCTATACGAATTATAAATGTCTTATAAGCTTACTTTGTGACAGTGAACCGGGGCGGACTTTGGCCGAGTCGCTTTGGTAGCTGCTGTGGTCTTTCCTCCTACGCCTGAGCCTACCTTATCTCGCTTATGGATGCGTCTCTTCGCGTCTCCATCTTACGCGGCTACTCATACCATTATAAAGATCATGTGCATACTGCATTCTGAGGCATTCTTGCTAAGCCTCTTTGTTTAGCTCTTTTCTTCCTGACTAATGTAGAAGCCAACACCTCGAAACCGTTGTTTACACGCCCCAGTGCCACATGAGTTATGACAGCGGAATGTGCCTTTCAAAGAAAGACGGAAGGCGGAGATGCAGTCTAACGCGGGAACATGTTAGCGCCCCCTCAGCAAGCGCCTTACAAAACCCACGGTGCCGCTTTCACGCGCAGTCATCCTAAGGCGTGAGCTTTTCTATTGAGAGCCTCCTGCTCTCGTGCTCCTCCTCTCTCTCTCTCTCTCTCTCTCTCTCTCTCTCTCTCTCTCTCTCTCTCTCTCTCTCTCTCTCTCTCTCTATCTCTATCTCTATCTCTATCTCTCCCTCCTTCTCGCTTTATTTCTGTCATTCAACGGGAACGAGCCCAGTTGCATAAAACCTGCCTCGCGGGGGGAGCGCAGGACGTCCGTCCTCAAAGAGAAATGGCAGGCCTACATCACCGCTTCGCCCCCCCCATAAAGATTCTACTTCCCGTGGCACGACCTCCCTGCATTTACCCATCCTACATCCTTCATCTACTCGCAAAGCCTATTTTCCCGACTTTCAAGTACTTCGTCGAATGCTTTTCTTAAATATACCGTCAACACGTGAGCGAGTATCACAGTATATAGCGCACCTAGGAATCGGGCAAGAGCCAGCCGGAAAAACACGGTCGAAACAGTCTTCAAACATTTTATATCCATAAACGTAGATACGTACCCTGATTCCTCACCCTTTCACCTGTTCAGTCTAAACAAAATACTACGCCACTCGCAGTGCATTTCGGCATATCAACGAGCTCTGCTCTGGACGCCTTTGCCAAGTTCGAATGATTGACCGATTGCGTGTGACTGCGTTTGGTCACCCATTTTCGCACCAGCCTCACACAGGCAGCGTTTAGACTTCTTGCGACGGACAACGCGTTAAGGTGCCAAACAGCGCTCCATAAGCTATAGACCCGACGCAGCTGCACACAGAATCGATCGACGTCCGGCCCGCTGATCTCGAAAGAGTTGGGCAAGCTTCTCTGGATTACGCAGTCAATCAGCACTGACCAGTAGGGCGGCGCTGGCTGCGCCAACCGATTTTCTTCTGCGGCCGGTTGCAATACATAGGGATTGGCAGCGCTAGTGTGCAATTGTATGGGCGTCCGATGGCGCGCATCGGCGAGAGTCTGATCGCTGCCTTGGACTGGAAGCCCTGGCCCCGAGCCAACGTGTTCCTTGCCGTCTGAACGACATGTTGAACAGATTGTCTTCATTACAAGAGAAACAACAAGGACAGAAAGTGTTCATTCACAGCAAAAACGTGACATGTATAGTCAGTGACATTTCTTCTCACACTTTTTGTAAGATTCGTGGTCTATCTGTTCTATCAAATTGCTGAGAAGGCGTATTTCTTCGACATAAGACATGATACAAGTCGGTTTCTTGTATGTTCTGATTAAGGATAGCTCATACGTTGAGATTCAAACAGGAAGTTTGTTTACTACAGAGCGTCATCAACTTCGCCCAGCCACTCAGCAGAAACACTTAGAAAGCGAGAAAAAGCAACCTCTCCCTGAAAAGTATCGGCTTTGATTGCATTCTCCTCGATACTAAGGCAAATTCCCGCCGACAGTGGGTGGACGGCGGAGGGGTGCTGGCGGTTCCCTGTTAAGCACCCCCCCCCCATTCCAGCCCTCCCTCTTCACCATCTTAGAGAAAGGGCTCCGAAAAGGCAAGGCAAACCATGAGCTTCCATCCCTTTGAAAGCCCATTCGGTTATCGCCGTAAGGCTTCGTCACACTTCGCGGCAGCGCCCACCAGCATCTAGCAGCGTCCATTAGCGTTCCGAGCGTCAGGCAGTGTCAGCGACTTGGAAATATACATATCGATCTAGCGAGCGGCAGCGTCTACCGGCCTCCACCAGCGTCCGCCAGCAACCATCCGCGTCTCGAAAGACTAGGAAAGTATGGATATCGAACGGCACCGTCCACTAGCAACCACCAAAGACCAGGAGTAAAGAATATGGGGAGGTAGGAAGGTAGCAGACTTCTGGTAAAGTATGGGGAAGTAAGAGAGAGGAGACAGCTGGATTGGGCGCCGTGAAATTGTGCCGTGTGTAAGCGCAACTACACAATAGCTGGTCGCTGGTAGACGCTGGAACGGTATCCATACTTTCTTAGTCCTTCGAGACACTGATGTCGTCAGTTCGATAACTATACTTTCCTAGTCGATGATACTGACTCGAAACGGTGATGAACGCTGGGACGATAGTGGTCGGATGGACGCAGCCGCCGCAAAGTATGAACGCAGCCTTACGGAGGAGGGGGGGGGTACACGGGTGGCCGAACCACCTATCATTTGTGAGAAATAAGAATGTTCGAAGTGGCTCAGCCACCCTCCTCCCACCCCATTCCCATTCGGCGCTGACCCGAATCACAGACGCCCTCCCAGAACACGTGATGCCCAAGTCTCTGGGTGATCTGGGTGGCCCCCATGGAAAGTGGCCTCTTTGGGGAACATAGCGCCTTTGAGGTTTGTGACCAAATTCATTACATATTGAAGCAAGCCCTGCATTGATAGTAAATAATACAAATGTGAAGAAAAAGCACCAAAACCTGTCCGAAATATCCCATATACAGCCCCAGCAAGTAACACAGAAGTGAAGAAAAAGCGGAAAGAACTCGCCTAGATGCCCCGCACTTACCCCCATACAGAACTGCGCTTGTTTGTGCATCAGGCGAAGGAAGGGCTCAGACGAGTTCGCTTTTGCTAGTGCCCGCCCTTTCTCCTTATCACCTCACTCTCATCATTCGAAAGGGGAGTGTTAGCAGCAGGACAACTGCAACACTAGGCCACCTTTAGAATGAAGCTATGCGCTGCAGGGTGCAATGCTCTGAGCCGGCCGTGGTTCTGCCGCAAGTGGCGGCGCTTTCCTAACGTACTTTTGAGCCGCAGAAGCAGCACATTCTCCATACTTGCAAGCAGGACTACCATGTCCACACTAAGGCGCCTGAACATCAAAAAAACACGCGGCTTTTGGCCTCTCCCGAGGCATGTAGCGCCC